GAGAGAGAGAGAGAGAGAGAGAGAGAGAGAGAGAGAGAGAGAGAGAGAGAGAGAGAGAGAGAGAGAGAGAGAGAGAGAGAGAGAGAGAGAGAGAGAGAGAGAGAGAGAGGGAGAGAGAGAGAGAGAGAGAGAGAGAGAGATGCAGAGCGTGTGCAGAGCAGGGGGACGCCAGGAACAGTATTAAGAACTGCTGCTTTAGAACATTAATTTTGAAACTTGTGAATCCATTAGAATGGTTAGAAGACAGAATCGCGATTCATATATGAATAGATTTTTACGTGCACCTCTAGTTTTCTCTTCCTCTTCTCTAAAGCAGTGCAGCATGGCCTCGCCCCCTTTGCTGCCTTTTCCTGAGGGCAGGGTTTATTTGGGTTTGTGATGTCGCGAACCCGGGAAGTAACTTCTTGTAGTCCCTACCAGCCGTTTTTGTAGGCATTAAAATGCCAGAATTTTAAAAGACGATATCTCCGTTTGTATTGAACTTTCAGCTTTGTAACTTTGCAGATATTGTTTATGCTCAAACAGCAACATTACACACTAACTAACGTTAAAAAAGTGAAATCGCATTGAACCACCCCTTTAAGATAAAAAGTTGTTCCTGTTCAGTCTGTTCATAAATATCATATTCTTGATATTAAGATGTTTTCGCGAGTCCTTAAAATTGACTCTTCCTCATCCCAGTAAGATGATGCGGCCGCATGGACGCAACAATATTCAAATCAATTCCAGTAGCCTGGCAACTTCTCTCGGTGCTCTCAATCTGGGCCATTTGCATGCGCATTAAAGGCTATACTCTCAAAATATTATAACTTTCATTTCTACGATTTAAATTCTCGAAACTTTGACTGTATTCTCAAAACATTTCGACTTTATTCTCGTAATATTTCGACTTTATTCTCGTAATATTTCGACTTTCTTTAGTATTCTCAAAACATTTCTACTTTATTCTCGTAATATTTCGACTTTATTCTCGTAATATTTCGACTTTCTTTATTCTCGAAATAGTACGACTTTAATCTCGTAACCTTAGATTTTTTAAATTTTTTTAATGTGGCACTAAAACGCCGTTGTACTAAAATAACTAAAACTGAAATAATAAAAAAATAATAAAAACTATGTAAAAAATGACAAAAACACAACACAAAATATAAAAACTATAATAGTATCCCAACAATACAAAAACAACACTGATTTCTACAATGGTAGAAAAACACATGTAATAAAAAGTTTTGTGTAAGCCTAAATGTGTGGTTTTCTGCAGGCTCTGACTGTAATGGTGCTCGACAGACTGAGGTGGTCAACAAACAGGAAGAGTTCCTCCCTCCGCAGCCTCTGCTCTCTGCCTACCTGGAGCAGTTGAGCTGAACTGCTATGAATCCTGGCTACAACCAGTACCACTGATGCTCATCCAGCCAGAACTTGCACCACTGCCCTTGAAAATTAAGCTTGGCCTTGACCTTGACCTGGCCAGTATGAACTGTGCACATGGCATTATGTCATTGGACCTGGCCTGCAGGAGAGACTGTGCTAACTAGATTATAGTACTCAGTGTCACTATCTCTTTCATTTAGCTTTTTAAATGCATTTTGGAGCACGTATTAGTAGATGTTGTCACTACAGCTGTCTTTATAAATGATTATTTTTTCCATGTTGCAGACAGAATGTTTACATTTACTGTCATGGCATCCTTGTATACAAATAGAAACATAATTGTATGACCTCAAGAAGAGGCAGAAAATGATTTGATAATTATTGTTTTTGATGTTCATCTTAACTTGAATTGAAGAATCTAGAAATTCATGTCTATCTCTGATGTTATACAAGCCACATATAGTCACTTTCAAAAACATAGGCTCCTACAAAAGGATGACGTCATATAAATCAGCACGTGTCGCAAATAATATGATGGTTATGCAGTTATTGTTCATTTATACCTGTGCGACCTGTTTGTTCTTACTGCACACATACTGCACAACTTTTGTTAGGAATTGTTCCGAGTGTGTTAGGACTTGTAACAAATGGTTAGGAATAGTTTGGCTGTCTGATCGCTGGAAATAAATGGAAAAGAAGGGGAAAGGACGGAAAGAAAGAAAAGGAAAGAAAAAATAAATATCCATCCATACTTCATGAACACTTACAAAGGATTTAATTAAAGGGTTTGATTGATTTTTGACTACAATTTCTAATAAAAACTAATAATAATAAAAACACACCACACACTCTTGCCAGGACTTGCATCTGGAATCTTCCACCCAAAGGATGGATGTGTTACTATTACTATTGTGTCGTTCTATTTTACAAACACTGCAAATTAAGCACTGGAAACGGCAACTAAAAACAAAATGTTGACAGCACAACACACAGCAAACACAATTAAAAACTGAACTATATGCAACTATATACATTACTATATACACCAATGAAAAAAAAATCAAAGACCTCCCTGAACATTCTCCCTAGCAACTAAAAACAAAATGTTCACAGCACAACACACACAGCAAACACAATTAAAAACTGAACTACATGCAACTATATAAAAACCTAACTATACACATTATTATATATACAAATGAAAAAAAAATCAAAGACCTCCCTGTACATTCTCCCTCCACTGTGCAAGAGAGAGGCCTGAGGCTGGACAATACCACCGGCCCTTCAGCTGAGTGTGGCTAGTTGTCTTATTTTTTGCCAGCCCACACTGCTTGCAGATATAGTGATATATATCCTTTGCTAGTCGTTTCCGTGGTGGTTCACCTCTAGCCACTCGCTCCTCATCCTCTTGGGCAGCTTTCTGCCTTCTCCATGTGCGCTGCCTGGGCTGAGTAGAGGGACAAGTTTGTGGTGACAGGTTATCAGGTGGCTGGAATTGGAGAGGGAGCTGGAACTGGGGAGGGGGCTGGAATTGGAGAGGGGGCTGGAACTGGAGAGGGGGCTGGAACTGGGTAGACTGAGGCAGTGGTAGACCTGGTGGGTAGCTGGGAAATGGTGGGTAGGACCCAGGGGAAATGCAAAGTGTGGTGTGGGGCTGGAATTGGAGAGGGGGCTGGAACTGGGGAGGGGGCTGGAATTGGAGAGGGGGCTGGAACTGGAGAGGGGGCTGGAACTTGGTAGACTGAGGCAGTGGTAGACCTGGTGGGTAGCTGGGAAAGGGTGGGTAGGACCCAGGGGGGAATGCAAAGTGTGGTGCTGGTGGGTATATGGGAAATGCCGAGTAAGATCCAGGAGGAGGGGTGGGCAGTGGGCACCTGTTGGAGATACGCTTACGAACAAAGGCCTCTCCCTCCTGATTTGCTGGCTCCTGAAATACCATGGCCTCATGCCCATGCTGTGCAGGAACAGCTGGAAGTGCGCGCACTTCAGGAAGTGACTCCTTTGCCAAATATAATTGTTTGGGCAGTGCAGTACCCTGCAGCAGCATGTCTCTGTCTACACGTTTCTGTCTTCTTAGTAGCCTGCAAGAGAAACATTATTCATCTTAAGTTAGCAATTTTAGTGGATTAAAGCCCATTGTCTTTACTTACTGTAGCATAATTTTTAAAAGAAGCATGTACAGGAAGGTTTTATAAGTACAATCTTGATATACTACTGTGATTGTATAAAAGTATTGCATAAAAGAAGACTCACCACGAGGAGACAGTAGTGGTGTTTATCGGGACCAGAACGAGGTTAGTCTGTCCTAGAACCACATTGCTGTCCTCCAGCAGCTGTTTTAAGTGGCTGTATACCACCACAATAGATTGTGGAATTGGCAGAGTTTTTCCTTGTGTGTCCTTGGGCCTGTTCCGTGCTTGCTGAAACTCTTTCAAAAGCCGTAGGCAAACACATTCACAGACCCTGTGGATTTCAGGGTCCTGAGCTGCCTGCCCATGAGTCATGAACAATCTATGGAAAAGAAGGATGATATAATCTGAACTGTATACTGGGTTATAAACTAGTGAAGATCCAAATAGTCAAATTACCTCTCTGCTGCCTGCTGTCCTGGAGCAGAGCCACTCTGCTTCCTGGATGCTCTCCAAGGTCCTGTCAAAGCCTTCTTCTTAACCCTCTGGCTATATTTTGATGGTACCTTGTCCATGGCAGCTGGACTATGTCGGCCTCCTCTTGTGATGACAAGGCAGCGATCGTTCGGTTTAGGCCAACCAGGTAGGCTGCCAGGGCATCAACTGCCTCCCAGCCCAAGACACCTCTGGAATCACACTGTGCACTCTGAAAATTGAGAAAAACGCCAACCACAGTCTAATAAATATATACGGTAATTGTAGTAATTATTTTGCATCGTACATGCATATATTTTAACTTTACAAACGGTTGACAATAGGTGTTTTGCACTGCACCAGATACATTTTTTTTTTAAAGTAAAAGATAGTACAGGATAGCAACATTACCTGGCCTGATGTGCTAGGACTTGCAGTGTCATCCTCCTCTTCCTCAGTGACCTCCTCATCAGGGGATTTGCGTCCAGTGGGGGAGACCCCAATGGATTTCAAGTCCATCGCCTTAACCTCTCGGCCAAGAACAGGGCAAAAGGGACTGCTACAAGGGGGAAAGAAAGCGAAAAGAGAAGGGAAAGGAGGGAAAGAAAGAAAAGGAAAAAAAAAGAAAAAAAAATCCATCATACTCCATGAACACTCACAAAGGATTTAAGTAAAGGGTTTGATTGATTTTTGACTATATAATTTCTAATAAAAACTGATAATAACAATAATAATAATAATAAATGACTGATCTGACAAACACACCACACACTCTTGCCAGGACTTGCACCTGGAATCTTCCACCCAAAGGATGGATGTGTTACTATTACACCACAAGAGTTGTGTCTTTCTTTTTTTTACAAACACTACAAATTAAGAACTGGAAATAGCAACTAAAAACAAAATGTTCACAGCACAACACACACAGCAAACACAATTAAAAACTGAACTACATGCAACTATATAAAAACCTAACTATACACATTATTATATATACAAATGAAAAAAAAATCAAAGACCTCCCTGTACATTCTCCCTCCACTGTGCAAGAGAGAGGCCTGAGGCTGGACAATACCACCGGCCCTTCAGCTGAGTGTGGCTAGTTGTCTTATTTTTTGCCAGCCCACACTGCTTGCAGATATAGTGATATATATCCTTTGCTAGTCGTTTCCGTGGTGGTTCACCTCTAGCCACTCGCTCCTCATCCTCTTGGGCAGCTTTCTGCCTTCTCCATGTGCGCTGCCTGGGCTGAGTAGAGGGACAAGTTTGTGGTGACAGGTTATCAGGTGGCTGGAATTGGAGAGGGAGCTGGAACTGGGGAGGGGGCTGGAATTGGAGAGGGGGCTGGAACTGGAGAGGGGGCTGGAACTGGGTAGGTGGTAGACCTGGTAGACCTGGTGGGTAGCTGGGAAAGGGTGGGTAGGACCCAGGGGGGAATGCAAAGTGTGGGTATATGGGGTATATGGGAAATGCCGAGTAAGATCCAGGAGGAGGGGTGGGCAGTGGGCACCTGTTGGAGATACGCTTACGAACAAAGGCCTCTCCCTCCTGATTTGCTGGCTCCTGAAATACCATGGCCTCATGCCCATGCTGTGCAGGAACAGCTGGAAGTGCGCGCACTTCAGGAAGTGACTCCTTTGCCAAATATAATTGTTTGGGCAGTGCAGTACCCTGCAGCAGCATGTCTCTGTCTACACGTTTCTGTCTTCTTAGTAGCCTGCAAGAGAAACATTATTCATCTTAAGTTAGCAATTTTAGTGGATTAAAGCCCATTGTCTTTACTTACTGTAGCATAATTTTTAAAAGAAGCATGTACAGGAAGGTTTTATAAGTACAATCTTGATATACTACTGTGATTGTATAAAAGTATTGCATAAAAGAAGACTCACCACGAGGAGACAGTAGTGGTGTTTATCGGGACCAGAACGAGGTTAGTCTGTCCTAGAACCACATTGCTGTCCTCCAGCAGCTGTTTTAAGTGGCTGTATACCACCACAATAGATTGTGGAATTGGCAGAGTTTTTCCTTGTGTGTCCTTGGGCCTGTTCCGTGCTTGCTGAAACTCTTTCAAAAGCCGTAGGCAAACACATTCACAGACCCTGTGGACTTCAGGGTCCTGACCTGCCTGCCCATGAGTCATGAACAATATATGGAAAAGAAGGATGATATAATCTGAACTGTATACTGGGTTATAAACTAGTGAAGATCCAAATAGTCAAATTACCTCTCTGCTGCCTGCTGTCCTGGAGCAGAGCCACTCTGCTTCCTGGATGCTCTCCAAGGTCCTGTCAAAGCCTTCTTCTTAACCCTCTGGCTATATTTTGATGGTACCTTGTCCATGGCATGCAGAGCCATGTACAGCTGGACTATGTCGGCCTCCTCTTGTGATGACAAGGCAGTGATCGTTCGGTTTAGGCCAACCAGGTAGGCTGCCAGGGCATCAACTGC